AAAAACTAAGATTAGTTCTAAATGAGTTATAATCTGGAATTCAGCTTTTGTTGTTAAATTTGTAACTGCATGCATAGACTTAGAACCATTTTTAGATTACATTCAAGCAAATAACTAAATTTATGTAATTTTTCAGATAAGGGTAATGTTTGCAATGTAAGAAAATGATACAAGATGAAAATGGAACCATTTTACAGCCTATTAAAACAGTTGAAAGGTCTTCCTCTAGAATACAAGATAAATTACAAGTGTCACATGGTGTGTGAAATGCTCAGAGATCTCTGCTCTCTCTAGTTCTCTATCTTCATCTCAATCTCAGTTGTCTCCAGCCTCATTCTTCATATCAGCGACCACGGAATCAAGTGGCTTTGGGAAACAGACAGCCCACCTAATGTGTGCCCTCAGTTGGTTCCTACTAAGTCCATCGAAGTCCACCTCTGAATTCATCTGCTACAGTGGAAGCCATTTTTGGCATGCCGATAGCATTCTAGTCTACACACTGCATCTCTTTGGTCTGAGAGAGAGTTAATTACAACTCCGTGAGAGCTCACTGGCTAAGGGCAGGTACAACTGAAGGTCAGAGCAGTGATTGCTCCAAGGTGCAGCATTCAGCCAGTGATGCTGGGGGCAGTGGAAGCTGCTAAATTAATACCCCATTCTCTCTGTGGAACGATTCTGTGGAACGATTCTGCCATTCTGGGAGGTTTCTTAGAGGGTCCCAGTTGCCCAAAATAGAAACCCATGTATCAATACACTCTTCATTTACTCTTCTTTTGTCCTGTTTCTTTTTTAGCACTTTGGTTTCTGGAATCACCTTTCAACACAGTACCTGTCCCCAAATCTTTATTCCCAGGTTTGCTTAACTTAAAAGGGGTGGTGAGCGCTGTGTTGAATTGGCGTGGCCATGACCAGTGTGGAAGCGTTTGATTTACCTGAAACAAACCAAGGTGAGGCCGTGGGGAGCATTCAGAGGCGCAGGCCCCTGTGATGAAGTTCTCTGATCTGGAATTGCTGGAAGTTCCCTGCATCTATCATTGCTATCTCATGCCTCCCGTGCCTTCCCTCATCCTGTTTTCTAACTGAAATGTCCTTCCTCAGCGTCTTCACTTAGATAACTTATCTTCAAGAAGCAACTCAGATCGCCTGTTTCAAAAAGCCTTCCTTTAAACCCAAAACAGAGTCAAGTATCTTCATAACCTCTCACACGATTTCTTATTAGAATCCTTACCATGCTATACTTGGATGATGGACGCAAGACCCACTGTCATTCTACAGTAGAAGTTCTCTGAGAATAGGGGCTACAACTTACATGCCTTGGAGACTCCATAGAGCACAATATCTTGTATGTCCTAGGCACTTGTAATGAATGAGTTAATACTATTTTTTCTAAAAAATCCTTATTAGATGCTATGCAATGTTTCTTGTACTTTACCTTTATTAAGTCATTCAATCCTCGTGACAAGCTTTTGAGGCATGTACTATTATTATCACCATTTTAAAAAGGGGACAATTGAAGGAGAGTGAGGCTAACTAGCCGGCAGGTCACACAGCGAGCAATTTACAAGCCCAGGACAGGCCGAGGCATGAATCTATTTACATGCCATTGTGTCTCTTGGCTTCAACTCTGCATAACCACATCTAATCAGTGCAAGACACGATTTCTTAACATTTCGATATGTAATCTTGGATGAATTTTGTTCTATGTTTCTACATAGTTTGTGAAGGAAAAAGCCAAAATTCTGTCCTCACTCATACCCTATTAGGTATAAAATTCCTGGTAATGAAACATTTTCATGTGGCGTTCCTAAACAACATGCAATTTACAAGTTACTAATGTAGATTTCTGATCTGAATTTACCTTAAAAATGTATTTAATGCCCCATGAGAAATAAGATGTGCTGCTTAGACACCACTGGTCCTAGAGATTAATACTTTCTTGAGAAAAAATTCAACGATTATTTATAAAAGGTCCATGATAAATGATCAATTCTCAGTACATGTTCAGCCATGTAAATGAGACCAAAACGTTGGACTCCTGATCCACACGCTGCTAATGGCAGCAGACTTGGCACATTTCAGAGCACGGCATCCAGGGGCGCTGTGAGCCCGGCCTCACAGGGTGCACATCCCTGTTCCCGGCAAGGCAGCCGGCTTCACGCACCATTTAACCTGTGAACGCTCTCTGTCCTTCGCCCTCAGCAATGGAAATAGGCCAGCATCCTCCTCTCATCTCACCCCTTCTCCATCTAATCGGAGGGAATGTTTCCTGTTAGGAAATTATACATTATAATGTCACTCATGCATTGGTAGGCCCACAACAATCTTATATCCAGACAAAGAATGATTTGAAAATAAAATCATAATACAGACATCTGATCCAAAAAGCCTGTGAAGTACATGTCTAAGACATATTTAAGTACAAACAACTTTAACTGTTTCATCTAAGTTAACCTGCTGTTCTCTGTAGCTCTAGGAATTTCAAGTTCAATCTTATTGACAGACAAAGCATCTGAAGCATTATCTAACTAAAATAAGAGGGGTAAGGTGAAGAGGCGTATTTGTCTGCCAAACTATATAATTGAATGATGATCTTTGCTTTTTTTTTTTTTTTTGAAAGGTTTTTGCTATAGGGCGCGTGCGTTCGCCAGAAAGACAGAGAGAGACAGAGAGACAGAAAGCAAGAAATCACCCCCACCCCCAGGGGAGATGGCCACGCCGCAATCCCTTCTCCTCCATTCTCCTCTCAGGATCTTGGGCACGCATGCACACATGCCCGGCGTGAGTTTAAGCCACTCCGTCTGGGACTCGAACCATGGTCGACTACATGGGAGTCCATTATGCTAACTGCTGGTCCCCACGATGATTTTTGCTTTTTAAGAGCCTCAATTTTCAATTATCTCATTTAAACCATGATTTTTGTCACAAGATTCACTCGTCACAGTATTCTGTTCCAAGTAAATATCATTAAGTGAACAGGGACTCTTTTTACTATGAGGATTATTAAAACTTCTAACTTTCCTCTCTTTCTTAATAAATATTTTGATTAATAGTTTTATCAAACATAAAAACCAGAAGAAAAAAATTAAAGGAAAGGTTATGACAATATATAGGGCACGCTGTTTGTCTATGTATGGTAATGAGCTTATGGATCCCATCAGACATAATTTTTAAGGACCAAATGGTGGTGCAGAGGGAACACACGACATTTTGAGAGGCTGACCTACATGGGAGGGTGTCAGGTCTCATCCAGCGCCCTCTCTACACACACCCGCACATACATGTGAGAGCTGGAAGGCTGACGCTGGGAGTGAACTGAGGGTTCAAGACCCTGCTGTGGATGCTGTTCTCTCTGCCTCTCATTCTCTTTCTGTCACTCATAAAGGAAAATTTTAAAACATGTTTTTTGAAACTATGTTATTTTTTAAAGTTATTTTCTGATTTTGTCTCCACAAACCACAGCAATCTCTTCTTCATAGAGAACTCAATAAAAACAATACACTTCAGGTTTCAGGTGGGCATTTAATATTGTTGTCAATGCCAACAAAGGATCCTTTACTTGGAAGTTGGGTTTATCATAAAGGTGGGCATTCTGTTTTCTGAAGGCTTAACTGGAAATAAAATTTAAATGTGCATTTGGTACAGGATTTTCAAGAACTGGTTCTGAGTACTGCAGGCTAAATTACTAGGAAGTACGTAATGACTGCATTTTATTTAATTCTGTAAATTACATTAATTTAAAATTATATTTTTCTTTTATACTAGGCAGCTACCAGAGATGAAGTTGAAAAACCAATTTACTTGCTTATTTTTTAGAATTTTCAACATATTTTGCCATGTAGATTTTGGTTAATTCCTCTCTTTTAATGTAAAAGAGGAAGCAATGCCTTTTTGAACAGAAAATACTGTTGGTGACTATTGTAGAGATAGATTTGAGATTTTTGACTTTTAGGTAGTTGTTTATGATCTTGTTTTTTAGGAACTTCTGGAATGAAGAGTTATTACAAAGTTTCTATGCACCTGAATATTCTTGTGTACAAAGCAATGTGTGTAAAATGAGTATGTGGTATCATGTCATGAACTAATACATCCCACCATCTGAAACATGTAAATGCCGTGATGTGTAACAAACACACTTATTTAGACATTAGTAAAATCGAGGCCTGCAGCAGGCATGGTGGTTAAGGGCCCTGGACTCCCACATGGCTGACCACAGTTTGAGATCCAGACCTGGAGGTTTGCTTTCTCACTCTGTCTCTCTGTCCTTTCCTGGTCAAATTAAAATAAAAAAAATAAATAAAATAAAATAAATAAAGTTAAATAAAATAATTCTTTAACAAAATTAGTAAAATTACCATAGTTTTTGTCATGGTGCATTTCTTTTTTTTAATAATTATTTAATTTAACTTATTGTTATTATCATTCTAATTTTACCAAAGAGAGGGACAGTGAGAAAGCAAGTCACTAGGTCCGGGACTCAAACTGCAGTCGGCCATGTGTGAGTCAGCACCTTAACCATCACATCATCTGGCAGCCCCTATGGTGCATTTCTTAATCCATGGAGGCTGAATATGTCATAACCAACATGGTGTAAAATTGTATTAATATTATAATAAAACATATGTGTTCAAAGTATTTGGGAAATGCTGCTCTAAAAGGCTTGCAACTAACAGGCAAATTATTCAGAAAAGGAGAGCTGATACTCATTTTGTCAGGAACTTAAATTTGATAGTAAACTCTGTTGAGGAGACTCTAGAAGACATACTTCTGCAATCAAAGCAAACTCTCAATTATCAAGATCATTTAACTTTACCTCCACCTTGTTTTCTGGATTTTTCTTGCTATGAAGCAGGTGTGGTAGAAAGAAAGAATAATGACTCTTAGAGATGTCCAGTCTCCAATCTTCAGAATTTATGGATCTGATCCATTACATGGCAAAGGTTAATGAAGGTAACAGATGGAGTTAAGATTGCTAGTCAGTTGATCTTAAAATAAAAATACTAGTGTTCACTTTAGCAGCACATATACTAAAATTGGAACAAAACAGAAAATATTAGCATGACCCCCGTGCAAAGATGGCATACAATCATGAAGTAGTCCATATTTCTAAGAAATCCTGTCACTTGATGTTAAATGGGGAGCCTAAAAGAGATTTCATTAAGTAAAATAAGTCAGGCCATGTAGATTTTGAAATACCATGTAATAGAGAGAAACCAGTGGTCTCCCTTGTGCTGGAAAATTTGGGAGGAAAAATAACTTTCTAGAGTTAAAAGGATGAAGAATTACTGTTAGTGACTCAGAAGGATGGGAGTTAAGATAGAAGGGTACGTGGACCAGCATTTGGCATAGTGGCTATGTTGCTGGGCTACCATGTAATTGACCATGGTTCAAGTTCTGGGCCTGGTGGCTTAAATTCATGCTGGGCGTGTGTGTGTGTGTGCACAAGATCCCAGGAGGAGAATGGAGGAGAAGGGATTGTGGTGTGGCCATCCCCCCTAGGGGGTGATTTCTTGGTTTCTGTCTCTCTGTCTCTCTCTCTCTTTTTTCTGGCATGCACATATGCCCTATAGCAAAAACCTCTCAAAAAAAAAAAAAAAAAGACAGAAGGGTATGGATTAACAGAAATAAAAATTGTACATAACTAAAAGGGACAATTTCTAGTATTATAAAACCCAGTGGAATAAAATAGAAGACAACAACTTGCTGTGTATCTAAGTAACTAATAAGGTGGAATTTTAATGTTCCCAGTAAGTAATGACAAATGATTGAAGTGGTGGGAGCGCTAATTACCTTGAATGAATCATCACACATTGTATTCTTCTACTGTAAAGTCACATTGTAACCTCACAAATACAAACAATAAAATGTGAATTAAAAATATTAATTTTTAGGGAGATTTTTGCTATAGGGCACTTGCATTCACCTGAGAAACAGAGAGAGGAAGTGAGAACTCACCCTTCATGGGGGATGGCCATGACACAATCCCTTCCCACTCTGTTCTCAGGATTTGGGGGCATGCACACACATAAATTTCAAGCTGGCAGGTCTAGGGATTGAACTGTGGTTGGCCTTGTGGGAGTTCAGTGCCTTAACTACTACACCACCTGCTGGCCCCCAAAAAATGTTTTTAATGATGGAATAAACATTTTAAAGGAGCTATTTTTATGTGTTGATTATTTTAAACAAATCTTAACTAATAGGAAAAATAGGGAGATTGGCATGGGTTATCTAGTTGGGTCCAATGTAATCACCAGGGTTCTTAAATATGAAACAGTGAGGCAGAAAAGTCAGTGTCAGCCTGGTGCCAGTGTGTGAGGGTATGCAGCCTATAGCAGAAGGCAGTTATCAGAATGCCTCATTAATCACTTCACTGAGAACCAGCTGACACATACCTAGGATGCAAGGGGCTCCATGAAAATATTCATGGGGCAGAGGAAACATCCTGACCCTGGCTAGGTTATGTAATACCCATTTGATACAATGTTTATGGCTTGCCCACTATCCTCTCTAAAGTAATCAAACAGCCTTCACTGAAGTTTCAATAATCTAGCACACCTCCCGATAAACAAGCTAGCTTGATGGCATGATGCAGACCCGGGTCACGAATGACAGCAACAAGACCCTGAAAATGTACACTTTGAAGTTGCTTATCTCTGGCTGTGAGACCTTAACCACATTCCTGCATGCCTATAAAAAAATCTCACCATGCTTTGTAAAATGTATAAATAAAGATGCTCAGCACTTCTGAGCAGCACAGCTTGTCTGTGTTCACCTGCACTTCTGTCTCTGTGCCTTTTATTTTTCCCCAACCTTTTGCTTTGCAGGACCAAGCCCCACGATGGATGCCGACACCAGGGGAAAAGACTGGAGCTGCCATTGGGAGGGGGCCCTGAGCCAAGGAATGTGGGCAGCCTTTAGAAGCTGAACAAGGCAAGAAAACAGGTCCTCCTCAGCCTCTCCTGAAAGAAGCACAACCCTGATGACACTTTGACTTTAGCCCAGTGAGGCATATCTCAGACTTCAACTTCCGAAATTGTTAGAGAATAACATTTTGTTGTTTTAAGTTACTAAATTTGTGGTAATTTGGTATAGCAACAATAGGAAACCGACACATTGTACTAAAGTATACATGTTGAATAAATACATACATTTTTCACACAATGAATTAATGTGTGCTAACAATGAATTTGGTTAGCTCTCTCCCCTCCCCAGCCCTTCCTAAATAATTGCTGAACATAATGGCTTCTGTTGGGGACCTAAACATGACAGCATAACTACAAATGTATAGATGCCCTCCTGGAAATGAACATTTTAGACCATAGGAATGAGGCAGAAATTTGTAATGATGCATAAGACTGATGGTGGCGAGCAAAAGCACTTCACCAGGATGGACTGGCCAGCTCAGTCTGAGAACCACCCAGCCTTTGACGTGTCTCCATAGCACCGTTTCTGCACAGAGGTCAGCAGAACAGCCGTGAGAACGCGTGGCTCATGTGCAAGCGTGAGTAAACTAGAAGAGATTTTAAAACTTCCTGGAGAAAAAAAGATGAAGAGAATGGTGAAACTAGAAAAGAAATTACAAATTTGTTCTGAAAAAGACAGTAGAAGCTTTAAAGAAAAAAATTTTTGCTTTTTTTTTAAAAAACTCATATACTAAAGTGTAGAAAGGGCTAGTTATTTAATATACATTTGAATTTGTCTCTCTTAATGGATTAATCAAGGCACGTGACCTAAAAGACCCCCATTTTATGGAAAGATAGATGTCACTGAGGGAAGTTAGCTGGTGACATGGGAGAATGGTGCTGGTTCTTGTCCTTAACTCATGAAGAATTAGAGATGCAGACACAGAGAGAGGATAGCAAAGTGGAGTTTTTGAAGAGGAGAAGGAAGAGCAGAACTCTCAAGTAGAGAAAGGAAGGTCCCAGAAACTGGGCTGTCAAAGAGGAACCAAGGTGAGAGGTTTTTTTTCTTGGTCAGGAGGGTTTTGTTCGGGCTTGTTCCTATAAGGGGCTTGTGCATACATTTTCCTTGTGGTGGGGGTCACATACTAGATAGGTCTGGTTATTTTTATCCTAATTTTGGAGTGGGTACAAGGGTCATAAGACTCTCTTTTCCTAAAAGCTTTGGGTTATAAAGACTGTTATATTCCTCGGGGTGCATGGTGGGACCTGGAAAGATTACTGTATTCACTTTAGATCAGTCACTGAGTCACTGCTGCAAGCTGTTCCCTGTGAGCAAATAGTTCAGTGAAAGCTGAGCCGCTGTGAGCTTGTGTGTCTCCACCCCAAACTTTAGCCATTTTCCAATTCCAATTTGGGCCTGTACCCTACCTATGTTTTTAGGGTCCTTATCTCCTACCTCATTAGGAGAAGGATAGAAGGAAGAAAATCCTTTCACAATGTGAAAAGGGAGCTCTTGAATGAGTAGCTCCCCCGCCCGCATATGGCAAAACCCTCAGGCTTCATAAGGCCTTTTACAAGAAAGTATTGGTTAATAGATCCAAGGACTTTATATTATTTAGATTTGTGGTATGGGTATCTTTTGTCTCTTAATTTTGTTATCTGGTGCCAATATTTTACTATGGTACCATTTTCTGTGTATTTGGGGCTTATTTCATAGTTGGGCCCAGATTGTCTTCTTGTCTTTTGTTTTTGTTTTTTGTTTTCTTGTCAGCTTAGATGAGTTCCAGAGTTAAGAAATTAACAGGACCTGGAATTAATAGGCCCTGGATTTTGACTAACTGTTCCTTGTATGTCCTGTTAGGAAGTTTACAGTTTTGGTTTTTGTCTAATGAGGTAAACAGAGAAGGTTTCCAAACTGGAGGGGCAAGTGATAAGGAGGAGAGGAATGTAGATTTCCAAAAAGCTAGTTTCCCATGGTTGCTCTCAATGACCCCTTCTTGTCAGCATCCCATCATGGCTGCCCTAATGCCTGCCTAACTGCCTTGCCAGTTTCTGTCTTACTGATAGCTCAGACAGAGTCTCTCCAGGGACAGAGTAACTTCAACCACAGATCTAATACCCATTTTGTCAGGACTTCAATTGTGACCATAAATTCAGAGTTGATTGGTCTCTAGAAGACTAACTTCTACAGTCAAAGTCAGAAGACACTAATGATAAGCCAGAAATCCAATTTGTGTGTTCAAAACAAGGGCACTTCCTTCCTGCGTCATCTGTCATGAGTACACACTTTTAGTATCAAGGCAAATGGTATTTGAAAGCATGAATTTGCTCAATGGGCCAAGAATAAGTACAAAAGAATTGGAAGGTCTTTGTCTTGGTCCACTTGTATTTCCATAACAAAATGCTATGGACTAAGTAACTTACAAACAACTTAATTTTTTTTTTTTTTCCAGTTCTGAAGACTGAGAATTCTAGGATCAAGGCAATAGCAAGTTCGGTTTATTCCTGGGAGATTGGGTTGCTTAGATAGCTTCACCTGGTGGAAGGGATGGAAAGTCCTGAAGGGCCTAAGCTACTGTTTTCCTAGTTTCTTTTCCCCCCAAGGCACTAATGCATTCATGAGGGAAAAGCTCTCAGAGCTTAATCACTTCTCAAAAGGCCCCACTTCTTAATACTACTACAGTGAAGATTAAATTTCCACACATGAATTTCAGAGGACATTCAGGCCATAGGAATCAAAGAATATTTTATCCAGGCCATTAAAAAAGCTCGATGAACTATATTGCTCAAAATCGAAATCTAACATTCCAGTGATCTGAACAGTAATGTCACTTGCAATGCTATTTCTTTCAATGTTTGGAACTAAGCTGGAAGGAAAATGTCAAATTTTTTGTATTTAAATCACTTAATGAATTTCATGTAAGTATTTACATGCTGTTTTTAAAAATATTTAAAATATAAAGGTATAATTTATTTGTTATACTTTATTTTCACTTTTTTATTGTTGCAATTTTGTGTTGTTTTCATTGACATATAATCATTTGAATATATTTCTTGGCACAATGTAACTTTTCAGTAGAAGAACACAATATAAAAAGACCAAACCAAGGAAATTAGAATATTCATTATCTCAAAAAATGTCATTATTTTGTGTTGGGAACATTCAAACTCCTCTTTTTCAGCTATTCTGAGATGTACTGTAAGAC